TAATAAAGCTTGGGAGTCTCTGCTTAGACCTCACCTGTCCTGGGACACGGCATCTCATGACCAACAGAAGCACTGCTGTAGAAAAGCAAACAAGTGGTGTACTTATTTGTTATCTACTTCATTCAGCTAATACCCCACAAGACCCCCAACTACACTGACCCAGCTGCTGACTCTCACTGACTGTAGAAGTGGTACCACAGAAAAAGGGAGGAACTCACAGCACAAAAGCCTACAGAGAACAGGACAGAAGCTGACAGGCTGGGAGAAAGGTAGAGCCTCACAATGCTTTCGTGATCCGGCAGTAACACAGAGCAAGCAGCGCAGTGTGGCAGCGTCGCATTCACACTTGCTGTCACTCCCAACCACAGTGACAGCAAGCGACGCTTCGTTTCTCTGTGTCTTGCCAGTTCTGCCCACTTTGACAGTGAAGCACAGGCAGGAGGAGATGGCTTCACACTCAAGGAGCATAGCTATGCACGTGCTTTGCATGGGCACAGGGCTGACCACCTTGGTGGAGGGGAATGACAGGGAGGTGCAGCGTAGCTCAGTGGTCAGCTGAGTGAGCGCAGGACAGGGCACAAAGCAGGAGGAATCCAGGACCCGCACCCCTCTCTGCCCCGGGAGGTGAACACCGTGCAATGCTGAGGGTCTTGTGCTGAGGTTAATTCACTGCCCAGCTCTTGCGACCTCGGGGAAGGTGTTTTATCTCTGTGTCTCGGTTTTTAACCCCTCCATCTGCACAGCAAGCAAGAAGCCATTCCTGACTCAGAGCACGCAAGGTCTGACTTATGACCAGCAAAGTGTTTCAAGATGCTCTTATGGCTCACATGCTCAAACCACCACCTCCCCAGGCCTCCTCACTGTCCCCTGTGAAGGCGCGTGGTGGCCACCCCCCAAGCCCCGCACAGATGTGCGTTCAGAGACCCAGCAGCAAACAGAGACGTGGGCAGGAGGGGAAGAAAACTGTACCAGGGAGAGGAACATTGAGAAAGGGACCAAGGAGCTCCCAGAGATACACAGCACCACAGCAGACACAGCCGTCACGCCAGGAGCCCCCTGCAGCCCCCTGCCAAGCCCATGGACCCCAACCCATCACACAGCAAAAGCCCAGCCCCTCATCCTCCCCCAGCTGTCCCCAGGCCTGCTGTGCACATGCTACAGACACATTCAAAACACTTTTTTATTTTTAAACCTTGCATTTTGCACGCTCACGGCGACCACCCCAATCTGCACCGACCCCCAGGTGGGTCTGACCTCCCAGGTGGGCCCCAGAGATGGTCTGCCTGTTCCCACCCAAGGATTTCACCCTTCGTCTTTCAGATGAGGCCTCCCACCTCAGCTCCAGAGCTCCCAACCCTAAAGCCAGGGCAAGGACCCTTCTGTCCTATCCATCACAGGCTGGAGGATGCAGGACTGTCTCAGGCGGTGAGGCTCAGCTCACCCAGGGGACCTTCTGAGCCAGGGCCACTGCAACGAGCAACAGCAGAGACATGGCCTGGCTACGGCAACCAGAACCGAGACATAAAAAGCACTTTGCGCCACGGTCATGTTATTCCCTCGTCCCTCCCCCTCATCCCCTTTGGAGCTTCTTAACTTCAGAAACCTTCCTCCAGAGGAGTGTTGGAGTGACAGAAAACATTTTCCAAGCCTAATATCAGTTCCAGATGTTCACAGCCATTTCAGTTTGTACCTCACCCTGTAAAACACATTTCTCCTCTCCCTCTCTCAAGTGCAGCGCCTGCTTCGTCCATGACATAATGCGCTGGCGGGCTTGGCTGTGCACACACACACACGCTCGCGCCCTCTTCGAGAGCCCCACGTTCAGACAAAGAGCATCACTCAACTACAAAGCCGTCGCACACATGGAGTTATGAGTAATTTCCACAAGTTTTAATAAACAGTTTGGGATGTAATTGCTCTCCGTCTTCTCCGCTGGCTCCCGAGCGGAGAGCCGCTCACTCCCCGCGCGCTGGTGTTGAAAGCGTGGTTTGTTTCACACACAAGTTCACCTCCTATTAGCCTCAGATGGTCCAAAGGCTGTGTTTTTCTAAGCACTAGTAATAAGCCTCTTTAAAAAGCACGTACTGCCGGGGGCAGCCAACCCATGCGAGCTCCCGGCTCCTTCCACCCCATCCTGCAGCATCGCTGCCCCGCGCAGAGCCCGGCAGGGAGCAGAGGAGACGCATGTTAGACCAGCCTCAAAACTCTCTCCTGACTCTGCTCCAAGAAGAAGAGGAGCAAACGTTTTTTGGCTCAAGGGAAAGGCTACATCTTCCAGTTGCAAAGCAAGGGGGAGGCCAAGGAGTTTTGCAAGGGTGAGAGGCTGGAGGCTTTTGGGGGACAGGAGGAAGGCAGAAGGCAGGCTAGGCAGGGGCCAGGTACTATCTAGCTTGCCACGGGGCTGAAGAGCAGGTTGGCACAGCTCTAGCCCCAGCCAATGCCAGGAAGCCCAATAAGAAATGGCTACCACCGCAATAAAACAACCCCCTCCTCCACACAAGCACAAGTAACCCACACATTTAAACTTAAGAGGTCCCAGGGATGAATGGTAGCAGCCTCAAGAGCCCCCAAACCTTGCAGGATCCTCCCAGCCCAGTGCTGCCACCATCTGCAAATGGAGCACTTCCCAGCAACGAGAACAACCTGCTCCTACCTGCCAGCAGCCAGGAGACCAAAGGGAAGAAAGATCTGGCAATATCCAGCAAAACCTATTTAAATCTCATATCCCACACCCCCCTCCCAAAGCTTCCCTCTTCTGGGGTTGACTTAGTGTTTTTTGTGGCTGCTTCTCAGATGTGATGGAGATGTGGTGCAGCAGGACAGGTGGGTGATGGTGGTGAGGGGACACCTATGGTAGGATTTTTGGCTGGGTGAAGTATGGTACCAAGCAAAGCCTTTGAGAGCTGTAGCAGTCAGCATCTCTGCAAACCTATGCAAGGTATTTGCAAGAATCAAGTCATCTGGCATTAGGGGCCTGTAGGGTAAGAAAGGAATGAAGGCAGGAATGTTGTTTGGTTATAAACAACATAGAAGAAAGGGAGAGATTTAGGATTGGCTTTTCTCTTTAATTGTTAATGGGGTCATTCTGTCCCAAACAGTCCCCCAGAGCAGGGAAAGGGAGGGCAGTTCCCTACAATGAATACAATCGCCTGTCAAACACATGGCAGTCATAAAAGGAAAATAATAATAATAATCTGTATTTCCTACTCTGGCTGCCAGGCAAAGATTCAGCCACTTCAAAGGAGAAACCTCACGTTTCCCTGGTCTGGCCTCACCTGACCGATGTGTGAGCAATCTGGAATCCCCATCCAAAACAAAGCCCCTCTTTTGGTGGCTTGTTTTCTTTGTTACTGGAGGGTGCCCCTCCAAGATAAAGGACCAGCCTTCTTCCATGTCCACAAACATAACCCCAGGGGCCACGGCCACATTGGGCAACTCTGGAAGTGGATGCTGGCAAGGTGTAGGAGAAAGCTCCTGTGGGACAGGACTGGTGTATGAGCTGGGAACCAGAGCTCCTTCTCACAGGAGTCTCCACAAACAGCCAGGGCCCCCCAGGATGTGGGGCTCTGGCTCCCTCCAACAGCAAAAGTCCAGCTCTTGTAGCACAAAAATTTTGGATATGATGGTAAGAGAGGCTGCAGAAGCAGGACAGATGGGCCTGAGAAACAGAGAGGGTGAAAACTTCCCTGTGGCTGTGAGCTGGAGCAGTTTTCTCTGTAGCAGCTCAGGGCAGCAGAGGGTCTTACAAAATTAGTGAGGAGAAGAAAAAAAGCCACCATCACAAGCTGAGAAAGCTTCCAACCAAAACTGCCTGTGTGCAACTCCCAACCTTGCTCTGAATGGTCTTCCTGAGATTGCCTTCCCAACAGGGAAACACAGACAAATATCTTGCCAGGATGTTCACAAAGCCTCTGCAAGACTGTATGAGTGCAGTGAGGTTCCCCCCATCCAATGCCAGCCCTGTCCCCACCTTCAGTCTGGTTCCCTGACCTTCCAGGCAGCCTGGACATGCACACTTTGTATAAGTTGACCAGGCTCCACCTTAAAGCAAATGAGGTTTTTAATCACCCAAAGCAGCAGCTGTTGCAGGGCTTTGCTCCAACCACAGGTGGAAATCTTCTTCCTATGTTCCCTTACCTAGGAGGGGGCTGGAATTCGGAACTGCCAGCACCTGGGGGAAGGAGCCTTCAGACAAAGGTAAATCTCTGCTTTGGTCAACAACACTGGCTGCCCCTGACACGTCACATGAGCTTCTTTGACAAACTACATCCAAAATCCTCTAATGAAAAGCAGTAGGAAGTTTTACCTGGCTTTCCATGCAGCAGTAGCATCACTCAAGGTCTCAAGTGCTATTTTCTGAAATACATCATTGATTCACCCAAATCAAACCCCATCCTTCACACCGCTCCACCTTCCCCAGCAGTTCCTGGAGCATGGCTTGAATTGCTGACAAAGCCTTTGCAAGGCACAGAGCGCTCAGTCCAAGCCTGAGCTGGGAACCAAACTCCAACCCAGGGAAGTTTCAGGTTCCCCTGGAGAAGTTTTGTGCTGCTTAAATGATCTCCCTAAATATTGCAGGCTTTGAGTTACTTCGATAGGTGTGCAAGGCAACTTAAATTGTCCTTTCAAAGGCTGGCATACAATGCAGTACTCATTGGAACAGACCAGTAAAGCCCTTGAGCTGTTGAGGGCTGACCTTCCTCCCACACTCAGCACCCTGCAGCATTTCAGACTGATCAGATCAAACAGTCACTTCAGTCAGAAACTCCAACTCACAGCTCTCCTACCCAAAAATTTCCTTCTGCCACGCTGTGTTTTTGTATTTCCCCTTCCCCTCAAATACCAATGTCTGCAGAAGCCTTCAGAAACCTCTCCTGAATGGAGTGGTTTTGATACCTCATGTAACACCTTGGCACTCTGCACCGCTCTCCACAAAAGCAGCAGGTCCCAGGATGCACCCTCTGCACCCAGAGGAGCTTGCCCTCGGTAGCTGCACCCACCTGTGTAGAGGTCTGTGTCCGTGTACTCATCCACCTTCTTGTGCTGCAGGACGTAGTCAGACACCTTCGTCCCAATGGCGGGCTGCACATCCAGCCACTCCAGAGAGACCACGGTGCTGGAGGGCTCCACGTTGGGGGAGAGCCGCAGGCTGGAGAGAAGACAGAAAAGAAACCAAAACATCAGCTTTCTTTCTGGGGAGGAATCCACCTCTGCCAACAGCACAACCCCAGGCAGGGCTCACACTCATACACAGGGATGTGCACACACACCCACAAGGACAGGGGGCACAAGGGGAAAGCAGGTAGGTGAGCATGGAAGAACTTCCAGTTGAAGGCCAGTTGGGTCCAGCCTACTGCAACATGTATGCTTACCTCCCCCTGCTCCTGGAAAAGCCTAGGTCATGCAGTCACAACCATGCAAGCCCAAAAACCCCATCTAAAGGAGCCTTCATCTCCTGGGAGAACTGCTGAACTTCAGCAGCCCCACAGCGAACCAAGGACCAGCTGCCCAGGAGCAAAAGAGAAGGGGAAGAGCCAGCTTAACCTTCACGCACCCCAGCAGGGTTGAGTCTACAGGAGGGGAGGGTCCAGTCTGCACCGCCAGCAAGCAAAGGCGAGGGAGGGCGGGAGGGAGAGAAGGGGCAGGTGTGGCTGTGAATTTACCCAGCTGCAAATGAGCAAACCTCTGCTGGGTGTGAGCAAAAGCCAAAGCAGGGCAGCTGCGCAGGAGCTCCTGCCCGGATCAGGGACCACGTGGGTAGGGGTGAAGACAGAGCAGCTTTGTGCTCCTGCCTGCACTAGTGTAAAGGCATCCGCTCCCTTTGCACCAGGGTGAATGACAACACAAAGTACAGGGCTATGGAGAGTCCAGCTCCAAACATACGAGCGTGTTTGTTGAACTCAGGGTGGGAAACGAATCCCCTCCAAGGATATTGGCTCACTAAGAAGGTGTTCTGCTCCTTGTGGCTCGCTGGAGCCAGTCTTCCTGCTTTCTCAGCTCATTCCCCATCAGTTTGCTCCTGATTTGCTCTTGCTCTGACAAGCCACAATGAATTGCACGGTAATTCCATTTCTTTCAACATTTGAAATCCCATTCTACAAGCCCTGCTAATCAGGTGATGAAAATCTATAAGGAAACTTTCCAGGGCCACAGCCGGAGCCAGGATATCCTAAAGGCATCAGTCACACAGTAAGGAGTGCTGGACTCTGGCCCCGGGACTCAAAGGTGAGAGGAAGGAGGTGCCCGTGGGCTGAGCCTGCGGGAAAGGGGCTGATGCTGGGGGGCTGTGACCCGCGGGAGGGCCTCGTATCGATACGTACACAGGCGGAGGGAGAGGGCTGCAGTTCGGGAGTCCGTTCTCATCGAAGGCGTTGAGGTCACACCTGCACCAGTCTTCAATAACATCGCCTTTCCCCGAGCACCAGTATGAGCTCATCAGGGCTCCCTTGAAAGCCTGACGTGAGAACAAAAAGCGTGAACACGTGTGCTAAAGACTCGGTGAAATCCGGCCAGCGGCTTGGCCGCACGGTGCTGAGCGTCAGAGGTGCATGTGTGCAGAGCCCCGGGATCAGGAAATACTGGGGGGGGGGGCCCCGAGGTCCTCCCCAGCTCTGCCACGGACTCTCTGCGTGGCCCTGGGCAAGTCCCTTCACCTCCCTGCACTTTAGCTCCCGTGTAGCGAGTGATGCTGGTTCATCCCCGGGTGCTGCTTTTGGTGTGGGGATGGGGAGCACCTGCACGACCCTACTGAGGGGATCTCCAGGGACGGAGGGCCGAGCTGCCTGAAGAAATACAAACATAAGCCTGTTTGTGACACTGGACACCATACGTAGGGTACCTTTACGCTGCTGCTGTGCACGATGAAACTCTTCCCCACGCCCATCCCGTAGCTGTTTCTGTCCCACTAAGAATAAAGTAATTCCTACATCCCCAACAACACAGACCACTTCCATCCTTCCCGTAGGTTTGTTATTCACACGAGCTGCCCTCCTGCAAGCAAACTGCTGCTTTACTCTTGCATAAGGAACACTCACAAGCAAAATAGCAGTATCTGGAAGAAAAAACCAAAATCCTGTAAAATATTTGCAGGGTGTTCCCCAGCCGGGCAGTCTCCCCTCCGCAGGCTGTTCCAGCCTGACCAGGAGCCCTCCCAACCACTCCTAATGATGCTAATGGATCCCCAGAATAAAAGCTGTTCATCTGCTGGGGTCTGAGGCTGAAACACTTTGAATTCCCAAAGCCCTCCAGGTCTAACCCCATGGTGTCTTCCCTGTGCTCATCCTGCAGCTCGGGGTGCTTGGTGTCAGTCCCCACGCTGCAGGACAGGGCATCCCCCGCTCCATACCCTGCTGTAGTTCAGACTGCATGGATTTACCCGGGTTTCTCCTGCTACCCTTTGCCTGTCGTGCCTCATTAAACCTCCAGCTTGGAAACCAGCATCTCTCGCTGCAAACATACACACACGGCCAACGTTCAACCCAACCCTCTGAAGCCACAACACCCTCCTACAATAATCATAACACCAAAACTTCCTTCACTAAAACAAACCTCTTTGTAATGCTTTTGACCTTTTAAAAGGCACATTTCGGGGCTGAAACGCCTTCACGGGTCCTCATCCACGTACAGCAGCCTCGCTGCCAGCCTCAGCGCAGCCCAGCTCGCAGCAGCACTATTCCGCCCATTCAAAGCCGCCTGCGGATGCCTGGCCCTGGCGATACCAGGTTACGCCTTAAAGATAAAAATGTGCCCTTTGAGGAGGACAGGGACGGCTCCAGTGGCTGCGGCATTTAGCAGAAAACTCTAGGAAAAGCGCCATCCCGGGGAGGTTTCTGAAAAGAGGAGGTATAAATAGAGCCTGACGTCAGGGCTCCCATTGTCCGGGGTTTTGTCGCTCTCCCCAAACACCCCGAGCACCTTTAACGAGGCGCCTTGAGGTTCTCCTGTCTAAAACACTTTCTGTTGCCAGGCATTTAA